TTGCCTACAAGACATGGAAACAAATGGTGTGTTTTTTTAATCACCGCTCTTTTGCTATCAGATTTGGCCTGAAATTTGAGATTCTGGCTTCTCTTCTGACCACATGGTCCTGCATCCCAGTGAGCAGCGGGGGCCGAGGTGCGCGGCTTTTGCTTTTGCCACAGCCGGCAGCCCTCCCTGTAGTCACCCACCTGGACCACCGACTGCATCACGTGTCCGCCTGGCCCTTCAGGCCTTTGCACTTACAGATCCTGGTACAGACATCATCCCACATCAGGCCTGTGAGGCACCGTTACTCTTCCCTTCCTTTCAGCCTCTACCCCAACCCAGGGCCTGTGCCCGGAGAAGGGGACAGGGAGCTCATGTCGACCAAGCCCCTCAAAATTGAAGGATCCCTCCAGGCCTGTGGCAGGGAGTGGGGGTGCTCTCCAACCTGGCCGGCTCCCTTTTCTCTTTTTCTCTGCAACGACTCACTATCACCTGGACACTCCCCTGGCTCTCTGCCTGCTGAGGGCTGGGTGAGGGTCGCCACGATGGGGCCGGCAGCTGAGCCCGGGACCGTGGGTATCACTGTGGATCCAAGTTCAAGGCCCCGCTTGGGAGTGGTCACGTGCCTTCCCCAAAGCCCCAGAGTGGCTGCCTCCACACCTGACCAATGGGACAAGAATATCCCCAACTCAGGGTTTTCTGGAGCCTGAACAGCTCCGACCCAGGACCCAGGACGCAGGCGCTCGCTCGGCTGGCGCCAGCTCCTCCCGCTCAGCCCGCAGCACCCACTGAGTCTGCAGGGTCCTCAGCTGACTGGGCTCCGCTACCCCCTGGGTGTCCTTGCAATGCTTCTAGCGTTTGCTACCTCTGCGTGCTGTCTCGCCTGATGTCATCGACCCCCCGCAGTGGGCACCGTGCCCTCTGCAGACAGGACCCTGTAATTCAGAGGCAAGCGGGGGCTCCGGCTCTGCCCACCCTGGGGCCCAGCATGGCTTCCACGGCTGGTGGGTCAGTATATCCGTTGGGGTTTTCTTGGTGCTGTGTCCCCAGCACCAGGCCCGGCAGAGTAGATGCTCAGTGAGTACTTGCTGTGAATGCCTGCCGGCAGGAACCCCGGTGTCCCCCATGGGATCAGGAGAGCAGCACTGTACCCACTCGACAGAGAGGAACATTGAGGTGTGGAGTTTAGCTCCCTTCAGTCTCCAGGCCCATGTGTCCCGTGGCCTGGGACAGCCCATGGCCCTCAAGGTGGGGACCACTGACATGCCCAGGGCCGCTTGCTGATGCTGTGGGTGGGTCGCCCCAGGAGGGGGCCCTGAAGCCTTGGCACCGGCCCAGGGTTCACAGAGACGGGGAGTGACAGGAGCAGCTTCCATCAACGACAGTAAGTAGGCTAGCCTTTATGGAGCGCCTACTGTGTGCTAGCCCTTCTAATACTCCTAAGCACCCTCGGTGCTGGGTGCTGTGCAGTAACTGCAGACTGAGCCCAGAGAGGCGCGGCCCCTGGCGCGGGTCGCCCAGCTGGGAGCCGGGAGCAGTAGGCGTACAGCCCGCAGCCCGGCTCCAGCTGGCACGCAGGCCCTCCCCTACCCGGCTGTTCCCGCTGCCTGGCCTCCGGGTGCCGCTCAGATGCCTTCTCCCCACTTGCCTTTCCTCAACGTTCTGCCTCTGGAACAAAACCCCACGAAGCGCTTTCTCTTGTCCTCCCGACAGCTCCCCGCCCACCCCCTTGCGCCTTTCTCTCTGCCCGCCTGTGCCTTCCATGCAGGGCGCCCGCGCCAGCCAGGGACGGCAGAGAGACACGGGCTGGCATTCTGTCAAGGAATTAATTGAAAAATAAAATCATTAGATGGGAACTCCAGAAATGCAGAATGGTGGTTGGAGGGGGGAGAGGGGGCAGGGCTGGGGGGCTGTTGGGGGCCGGCTGAGCTTTTTGTCAAGTTAATTTCTCGGGTGTGGATGTTGGGCGACATTCGCGCGTTGTTTATCTTCGGGTGCAGCTGTGATACTGAAAGGAACGCAGCTTGTTGCGTGTATTTATTTTACACCTTTTCCCGGTTCTGCATTGTGTGTGTTTGGTGAAAACCCACTGAGGCTTTGATGGCGGGGAAGTGGGATTTCTGCAGCTGTCCCGGCCAGCAGGTGCTCCGCGCGCGGCAGGGCCCGCGGGGGCTGCTGGGTGGGAATTCAGGGCCTGATGTGTCTTCTGGGGGCACCTGGGTGCCCGACCTGAGCCAGAGATGCCAGGCCCATGAGAGGATGCTGTAAGGGTGTGCCCGCGTGAGCCCAGACCCACGCACTGGCCTTCACAGCCCCCCTGGGAGGTGGGTCCTGTTTTCACCCCCAGTGCACAGACCCAGGAAGCGGAGGTGACTCGCCCAAGGTCACTGAGCCATGAAGTGGCAGGCCTGGGACCTCAGCCAGCCTGCCTCCCAAACCCTCCACCGCACAGCGGCCAGTGGGTACCCTCGGCCTCCATTTTCCAACTGGGGGAGAGGGGACAGTGTGGGCCGTGCCTCCTTTGGCCTTGATGTACTAGCCTTCCTATGACAGTCCCCGCTGTCAGCCTGATGGGAGAGAGACATGGAACACGCACGCCTCTCACGGGGCTAACAGTGACAGAGACACTGGTCTCAGCATCATCGGGACCCTCCCAGGTGCCGGCATTTCTCTTTTCACTCCTTTAATCTTCCCAACAACCCATGAGGGGCAGTTATTAATAGTGTGCCCATTTTGCAGATGGGGAAACTGAGGCATAGAAGGGCCGAGTAGGGCTGTGGCATCAGTGCCCGAGCTCCTGAGCAGTGCTCTGAGAGGTGTTCGCGGGAAGGAGGACCCCTGGCCTGCACCAGAAGGTCAGGGAGGCCTGGGGTCGGCAGAGAGAGGGTGGCCGCCGAGGACAGGGGTGGAGGACTCGCCCTTTCCCCCCTTGTAAACATGAGGGATTGAATCTCGGACAGCGAACATGCCCTGCCCGAATCACACAACTTGGAAGTGCTAAAGCCACATGCGCCTCATTCTAAAGCCAGGCGTGGCGACCACATGCCCTCTCACGGGGTCCTGTGGGACCTTGGCCCTGCCCCCTGCCCTCAGGTATGGGGTGCAGTTCGGACACTGAGGCTGCCGCGTGGTCGCTGTGGGGCTCGGTATGCTGGTGTCTACGCCTCTGTCTTCCCACCTGGGAAATGGGCTGATGGCGCCCACTCCTGAAGCGGGTGCTGGTGGAACTCGGGTGACATGCTGCTTGTAAAGTGCCCATCCTGTGTGTATTTCCTCTCCGGCTGCGGCCCCTCCCTCTGGGCCTCAGTGTCGCCAGCCAGGTGACATCCCTGCTCAGCCGCTGGTTTATTTTATGGCTATCCCGACATTAGCAGTTTTAATTTTAGCCATTTATTCTTTTATTCAGCAAATGATCACAGAGCACCTACTGTGTGCTGCGCCCATAAGACAGACCCAGCCCACCCCACTGCCGTCGCTGCGAGGGGGTGTCCGTGACAGGCCGCAGCCCTGTTTTGCGGCCCTTCTATCCCCGGCTCCTATTACCTGCCCACAGATTCCTTTCCAGGAGCCATGGTGCCCCTCCAGAGCCTGGCGATTACAGGAAGCCAGGAGCATCGAGGAGGGAGCAGGAACGGAAGCGGGTGTCTGAGCCGTGGGCTGCCGCCCGCCCAGCCCATTCTGTCCCGTCTCTTCTCATGACTAACAATGATGGATACAGCTGCCAGGCCTTGAGGCTCCTCGGACAGACGGGTGGGGGGGCAGCCTCCCTCACCCTCGCCAAGGGGGCAGCTCGCCATGTCCCCCCTTCCCACTCCCTTTGCTCATCCCCTCATTCGTCAAATATTAATGAGCCCTCACTAGGCCAGGCAGTGTGCTAAGGCAGAGGACACAATGGACAGAACAGTGTCCCACACACAGACATGCTGCTGCAGGGAGAAGTGCAGACGGGCTGAGGGCAGGGCGTCCTGTCAGAGGCAGTGGTCAGGGGAGTCCTCTCCCCCCCCTCCGTTTCCTTCCTGGAGGGCCAAGGGGACCAGCACGCCTTCTGCCTCCCTTCGTCTCCCTGGTGTCTGCCATCCACGGAGGCTTTCATGAAAAGTGGAAAGACGGCTTTGGTGGGCTTGGGTTCCATTCCTGTCTGTGGCTGAGTCCCCTCGCCTGTGAGAGGCAGTAATAATACCTACCTGCGGGCTTGTTGAAAAGAGGAGTCGTAGTACATAGTAGGTACTCAGTCAATAGCATTCGGGGCCCAGAGGGCATATATTTTGCTGAGCCCGCCATGCCTTTCATATGTTCATGCTGCGCATCTGCACCCCCTTCCCCCTCCCCTCAGAGAACTCCTCTGCATCCTTCAAAACCCAGGTCACATCACCCATCCTCTCTAAAGCCTCCACCCCAATGGTTACTCCCTCCGTGCCTCCTCAGGAACCCTTGAGCGTGTGTTTATTCAGCACCGACCGAGTGCTGCTGCCTGCTGTTCGGTTACGAGCCTGCAACCTCCAGGGACACAGCAGCTACCACTGTTTCCTCAACCTTTGCCCTGGCTGGGCTGCCTCCCTGAGGGTTTTCAAGGCCCCACACCAGGCAGAGAGGCCTTAACCTCTGACCTGCTGGGGAGGGGTGGCCTCCCTTCCCTTCCAAATGGGACCCTTTCCTCTGTGGGAGGGGTTGGCCCCAGAGCGGAGAGTTTCTGGGCCAGAAAGAGGCAGCTCCCCAAGGCGAAGCTGGAGACTAACCCACAATCTCTCTCTCTCTCTCTCTCTCTCTCTCTCTCTCTCTCTCTCTGTCTCTCTCTCTCTCCTCGCTTCCCCCCGCCTCCTCTCTCATGCCTCCCCCTTCCATGCTTTCTCCCGTCTCCCATCTTATTCTGTGTCTCCCCTCTCACCACGTCCCATTTCCCTTGCGTTCCCATTCCTCGTCCCCACCCGCCTTCCTCCCCTCCATCGCCCTCTGCCTGCCTCCAACCCCCTCGGCTGTTCTTTTCTCCTCTCTTGCCATCTGGGCGCCCACAGAGCCCCCGAAGAAAAAGCGGTCTGTGGTGTTGGACGAGATCCTGGAGCAGCTGGAAGACAGTGAGAACGACAGTGAGGAGCAAACCCTTCAGCTGTGAGCTGGCACCGAGAGGGTACGTGGCTGCAGGGCCCTGAGGACGGGACAGCCGCTCCGCCGCTGCGTCCTGCCATGGGGGCCAGGGGCCTGGTGCGCCGCCCGGGGTGGGAGCAGCAGGCAGCCCACCCTCCGCTGGTCCAAGGTCAGAGGGGATGACGGCCGCCTGCTGGAGCCCTGGGTCCTGAGCCGCTCTGGGCCTGCAGGAGGGCCAGCCCGGCCACCTGAGGGAGTCCATGGCTGCACAGGGACCTGGAAGCAGCAAAAACAACCGGCCTCCCTGCAAGCCAGGTGTTGGCTGCGCTCACAGGACTCCTCCAAGGTCCTGAGACGCTGCAGGGTCTCATCCCGCCGGCAGGAAGGTCAGGGTACAGAGGGCCCCAACTCATGGGAGCTAGGACCCGGGCACCCCACTGCCCAGACCCAGGGGCTGGAGGCAGCTCCTTGGAGCTGGGAACCAGCCGTTACCTCACCTCCTGGCTCAGCCTCCTCACTGACTGGTTCCCACTCAGGGCTTTCGTGAGAAGGAAAGGCTGGGGTAACGCATGGGAGGCGCCAGGCACAGTGCTTCCACCCTCGCTTTCCTCCAGGGCTGCTGAGCTGCAGTCCCGCCTGCGTCTGTCCGTCTGTCTGTCTGTCCAAGGGGATGCTCACAGCCTGGGACCGCCTCCGTCCTGCCCCATCCTCGTCACCTGGGACTGCAGGCCCTGCTGACCTCGTGGTCAGTCTTATGGGTTGGGCCCAGCTGGGCCTGTGAAATGCATCCAGGTGCCCAGCCCAGCAAGCAGTGCCCACTGCACACACCTCCAGCCCAGAGACCAGCCTCCCCCGCGAGGAGGCCTGTGCCCAGCACTTACCAGGACGCAGGAATAGTGGAGAGAAAAGAGCTGCAGCCGTGCCACCTGGGTCTGAATCGGCCTGGCCGTCCCCTGCTATGTCACCGCAGACCACCGAGGTCCCTGCTGGCCCTCACCATCTTTCTCTGTAAAGTGCGGCTGTAGACCCACCTCGGAGATGGTGCTGGGACTAAAGCCATCGATGCTTGAACTATGACTTGTCTGCTGCGTAACGTGGGGCCTGCGGGTGGGGCTCCACGTGGGAGTCTAAGAACCTCCGCCTTTCTGTGTAAACCTGGTTTGTGCATCGTAGGGGGCTTAGTCTTCACCCAGTTCTCAGAGTGGCCTGGGACCCATGCTGCGCTCCCCGGCCCCACTACCCTGCGAGGCTGAGCAACCCCAGCTTATCACTGCAGAGCCTGGAGCTGGGCCCTGTGAACCGCACCCCGGGGCCCAGCGTGACCCATTCCCGCTGGCACAGAGGGGACCACAGCCTTCAGGCGGGGGCTGTGGTGGGGTTGATGATAAACCTCCCCAGGCTAGACGCGTGGTGACCAGGATCCCCAGCCACCGAGGGTCTCGGGTGACAGGCCTGGAGTCTGCCCGTTCTTTCCACTGCTCTGTGCAGGGCCCGTGGGTCCTGCTGGGTCAGCACCCAGGGTTGGCAGTTCATCTCTGTTAAAGCAGCTGTTTTGTCAGAGGGAAGGGACAGGGCTGGGGATTGCCAATCCCTGGTTCAGATTCCAGCTGTCCCCGCACAGACTGCTGGGTCAGGGAACGGCGTGGGGCGGGGCCTGGCTAGCCTCCTCGTTATTATTATTCTGGAGTGAAGGAAGGTGTAGCTAGCAAGGTCATAATAAAGTAAAACAAGGTCAGTACTGGGCCCAGCCCACAGGAGGTGCCCATCTCACCCCTTTGGGAAGAGGGGCCGCCTATTAGGAGAAAAGCATCCGTCAGTGCAGGGTGACCTGGGGGAACTCACAGCGACAGACAGCCTAGGGAGGTGGGCACCAGAGAGCTTCGGGAAGGGGCTCTGTCGAGTGTGAAGTGATGATGGGACCTCAGTGGTCCCGGCAACCGGAAGGTCTGGGAGAAAGGAAGGCACAGGGAAAGGAGTGCCACCCGGGCCCCGATTCCTGTGTAGGCCGGTGTGGGGGCAGGCGGCAGGCTCATCCCCCTGGCAGAGGGGTGCTGCACCCCCCTGGTCGGGACAGAGCTGGGGAGAGAATGCTGGGGGGGAGGGAAGAGTGCAGCGGGCTCCCGGGAAGCAGAGGAGAGGTGAGCCAGGATCACGGGGTTCAGCGGGGTCGCTGGCACTGGCAAAGGCCCACAGCCGTGGGGTGGTGTCTGGGTGTACAGGGGAGGCCTTCCTCCTTCCTCCTGGGCAACGCAAGCTGGCATCCTCCAGCGGCCTGCACTCGGGGCAGGGGCTGAGGGAAGGAGCAGGAGACCACGGTGAGCCCAGGTTCCCGAGGAAGCCCCTCAAATCCGGGAGGGCGCCAGGCACCTGTGGCTTCTCAGAAAGGCGGGGCGGGAAGGGCACAGGCCAGAGGCAGAGACTGGCAGGGCCACCTGCTGATCCTCACCCCAGGTATCCATCCACCCATCTGTCCATCCATCCATCCACCCGACACTCAGCAGGTGCCCCTGTGCGAGGCACTGGTGGGCACCTGGGATACAGGGTTAGAGACGCTGGCCCGTCCCCCAGGCCTGGAGACCCCCAGTCAGGCCGAGGACAGCCTCCAGCGGCCTCTTTTCCTTTCGCCGCCTCCTTGGCCGGTTTGTCTTTCGTGGCCGGGCCGCCTCGCAGCGCCGCTTGCCGCAGCTTTCGGAGAGGATTAGCGCCCGCCGCGCACGCAGGCTTTGCTGAACAGAGCCGAGCTCGGTCTCAACATCTAATTCAATTTGTTCTGCCGAGATTGAAATATGAAATGGTTGCCAGTCAAACGTTCAAAGGACGCGAGCGCCTGCTGAAATTTAAATTTTAATGAAAATGACTTTAACCCTTTGGTGCGCCTTGCAGAAGCGGGCACGCTCCTTCCCGGGAAACGCCCCTCGGGTTCTCCACCCGCTTCCCTGCTGAGCGTCACTCATAATAAGGAGTCTTTTCCAGCAGTGTTAGCACTAAAGGATGAGGGGACACGTGCTGGATGGTCATTTGTCCCCCGTATGGCCCCAGGCGTTGAGATAGACACCTTACCATAGATGACCTTTGCAAGCCCTGAGCAGACAAGCCCGGCCGTTAGATGCCCTCGGACACCTGGCTCCTCCTCGGCCCCTGTGCCAGCGGGAATGTTGGTCTGTGTTGTGGTTTCACGTCTGTCTGATTGGGAACCCCAGCCAAGCCCTGCCTGGCGGGAGGGAGGTGCTGGCCAGCGTAGACGAAGGCACGAACCACGTCACCCTCCCAGCAGCTGTGGGCAGGGAGCCGTGGAGCTCAGAGAGGCACATTCCCCAGGGGGCACCGCACAGGGGCTGGCACCCGGCTCCACGGGTTCGTCTCCTGCTCTCTTGTCTCCGGGCAGAGGCGGTGCAGAGCCTGGCCCCGGGCCGGCGGTTACTTATCAAATGCCGTCAGTCCCTGGCTGGTGTGCGGCTCAGCATGGGGTGGCCCTGGGACGCAGGGACTCAGAGCTGTGGAGCCCCAGAAGAATGTAAGGCCTGGTGCGTGCGTCCCACAGGTGGTGGCTGAGCCCGCCGTGCAGTGGTGTGAAGGAAGTTATTAAGATCCTAATATAAGTGGTAAAGAAGGGACATGAATGGTCCAAACCAGGCATGGGCTTTGGCAAGCTACAGCCCAGCCGCCGCCTGTTTGTGTAAAGGACGTTTTATTAGCACAAGCCACACCCATTGGCTTGGTCCTGTTCAGGGCTGCCTGGCAGCAGCGGCAGCAGCTGTGTGGTCACAAGTCAAAGTATTGACCAGCTGGCCCTTCACATCAAGTTTGCCGGGACCTGAGCTAAACCCCGCTGATTTGGCAGCTCAGAGGTCAGACCAGAGAGGGCGAGTGACCTCGACTAGGTCACGCCGTGGCCAAACTCTCCACTGTGTGCCCTTCATCCTCCACCTCCGGAGCCAGGCCCCTGGGCTTTGATCCCCGCTCTGCCACTTACCAGCAGCGTGACCTTGAGCAGCTCCTTGACCTCTGAGAGCCTCAGTGTCTCCACCTGTGAACTGAGAGCACCAGCAGCCCCAGCTCACGGGATGTGAGGATTAAATGAGTGGGCTGTGAGCACTGTACCAGCATTCGCTGTCCTATGCCCCCCCCCAACATCAAGGAGTATCCCCCACTCCCATGGGAGGCCACAGTGCTCCAGCCCCGAGCCCAGGCCCTGCAGTCCAGTCAGCATCGCCAGAAGCCAGGGCTGCGTCCCTCCAGCTCCCTAATAAACCCACTTCCCCTAATTGCAGCTTTTATGAAAATGACCCCCTGGGACCGCAGCGCCCCGTCCTTGGGCGAGGCCAGCAGCAGGCATTTTTCTGTTGTGCCGATTTCCGGTGGCAGCTGCCCCCACCTTCCCTGGGAACTGTCAGGAGCCCCCCTTATGGTCCCCAAAAAGATTCCAGGCGATACCGCTGCCCCCTTCCCCCCCCCACCCCCCACCCCCGTGTCTGCGCATCACCCTGCACTTTGCAGAGCCCTTTCCCAGTCATGAGCTCCGCTGTCTCAGCTGAGTCACAGGTGGAGCCAGTCCCCTCGCTGCACAGGTGAGGTGAGGTGAGCGCCAAGGCTGACATTCCAGGAACACCTCGGAGGAAGGCCCCTTCCCTTCGGGCATCTCCACCGACCAGGGCACCAGTCAGGCTTCCTCTCCTCCCCTGGGCTTTGCGGGGAAGTGGTGGGCCACACAGCACACGCTGGACACCCTGGTTCCGGTTGTGGTTCTCAGACTGCCCCAGAGGAGCTGGGATGGGGGCCGAGTGGGTTGAACCCCAAGCCCTTACCCCCCCTTCAGTATTTCTACTCGTGGATTCGGATGCCCAGCTCATAGGATAAACATCTCACTGCAACAGTTTCAAGCCCCAAGGTGTCTTGTGGACCCCAAAATGCAAGCCAGCTCCTTCATCTGGTGCCCAGCCGGAGCCCCAGCCACTCCAAAGCCAGGGGCAGGGCCAGGGGCCTGTGGAGACGCTGTAGACAGTGTTTCAGACCCAGATGTCAGCAGTTACATGAGGAGGCTGACTTCTCCTGGGACGGTCGGAAGGTAGGCAGGCCTGCGGCCTAGGGGCGCTGCCTGGCCGTCCTGGGTCGCTCTCTAGATCAGTCTGTGCCGATTTCTGCCTGTGGAGGTAAACGAGAACGGAACCCTGGGTGAGCAGCGTCCAAAGGCCCCCACAGACGCTTCTTTGTCTTGGTTTCTGGGGGAAAGGACCCGTCAAGCTCCCGCGGATTCTTAGCCCAGGAAGAGCTTAAGGCCCCGGTCTCAGATGGCGGTTGTAGGGAACACCCCAAAGGAACACGGGGTCGTATTGCGTCCACAAAAACTTGCTGCTACCTGCCCCATTGGCCAAAGCAAGTCACGTGGCAGAGCCCAAATTCAGCAGGAGGGGCCGCCCGCAGGCCTGGCTGTGGGTGGACGGGGTGATGAGGGGGCACCGACTGTTTGCTGGAGCCCAGCTTGTCTAGAGACATAGGCATTTAGAGACGCTTCATTGCCAAGACCAGGGACGTTCCAGCCAGGCAGGTGGCCCAGGTGGGATGGACCACCGGGCTGATTCCCACCTGCTGGAAGGTCCTGTGCTCATTCCCCGCTCCCCCCCTACCCCCTTAAAAAGTGCTCAGGTCCTCCAACAGCCGGACCCATTCATGGCGGCTCCTAAGACTCGTCTCCTCAGACCCGTCTTCCCTGGGAAACGTTTGGCTTTAGAAATCAGAGTTTGGGTCCTGGCTGGGTGGCTCGGTGAGCTGGGGCACCATCCCCTGCACCAGAAGGTGGGGGTTCGAATCCCAGTCAGGTTGCGGGTTCGGGACGAACTGAGGGCACATATGGAGGCAACCGATGATGTTTCTCTCCTTTCTGTAAAAAGGAAAAGAACTCAGAGTTGGGGATTTAGCCGCATTTCTCTGCATCGTGGCTCCTCTCCATCCCTAAGCCTTTTCTGCTCTCAGCTGGTGCAGCCGCATTTCGGGGTGGGGAGGGGGGTGGAAGGTACGTTCTTTCTTCTTTGAGAAACCCAAACTGTAGTTCTCTGTCTGAAAGGGAGCCCAGTTTCTCCCTCTCTCCTGTTCAGCCTGTAGGGATCCACCCAGAAGAACATGCACGTGTCCTTCCCAGCCCTCAGCAAAGCAGCTCTCGGAGGGAGGGGGTGCAGTGGGCGTACGCATTCTCTGAGTTGCCCGTCAGGTACTTTCCTGCTACTTGTCCGGGACTCTCAGCTTCGGACAAGCCACTGGGCCCTCAAGACGGGGCACTTTCCAGGACCCCGGGCCCTTCGGGGGAGGGAGGGGGAGCTCTGCCCTCCAGCCCAGAGCACAGGCCTGAGAACCCCCAGCCTGGATGCTGCTTTCCAGGCTCCAGGCTCTGCACCTGCTTCCTCTCGGGGGGTGGGTTCCGGGCCGGGGCGCGCTTTACTGAACGCCGCCCTGTGCAGGCCCAGGCCCCTGTGGAGCTCTGCCCCAAACCCCAGAAGCAGGACGGTCACCCACCCAGAGCGGAAGGTCCTGCTGGCACCTCCTGGTCCCGGCCACCGGGGGACGGCGGCTGTCAGCCAGGGGCCGCTCCCCCAAGCTGAGTGTCCCGCCTGGGGGCTGCCGCTGCATGTGGGCGGCTCAGCTCTCGTGTCCTCACCGCCTCCTCCCCGAGGCAGGGAGTCACGTGGCAGCCGAGTGAGGTTTCAGATGTATCCACTCATGAATATCAATCAGGCCTGGTAATTCACAGTAAGTGCGATCCAGATTGACTAATAAGCAAGGCTTTCACCCCAAACTGGGTCTGGGGACGGGCAGGTGTGGGCACGACGTGACCAGAATTGGAAAACCCCGCAGCCGAGCTGCAGACGGCAGAGGTCCTGAGGGGCCGCCGGGCAGCCTGGGGAGCGGGGTCCCCTCCCAGGCAGCAGCCAGCGCCCTGGGGGTGGGAGCAGGTTCCCTCTACCCGCTGAGAGCCTCTCTGGCTCTCCTGACGACGGTTGTGGGGTCCAGGCAGACACCCAGGAAAGATGGGTTCCCCGGGGCAGGCCCTCCCCCAGAAGGAGGCCAGGTCCTGAGGGTCAGGTGGAGCCCGGCTGCCGCGCTCCTCCCCACCACCTCCCCCCAAGGTGTGTGATCTGAGTGGGGGGCAGCCGGGTGGGGACAAGCCAGGCTGCTGGGCTGACATCCAGCTCTGCTGCTTGTGAGCTCTGTGACCCGGGCAGGTGAGGGAGTCGTCGGCCTCCGTCACAGACAAGCCTGTGTCCAGACGTGACAGTGTCCAGCAGAGAGGAAGGGCTGGCAGGTGGAGCAGGGAGCGGGACCCCTGCTGAGGAAGGGGCAGGCACGCTGCCGGTGCCACCGGGTGCCTGTGAGGATCCAGGAGGAAGCAGGCCCGACACCTCCGCACAGTGCCGGGCACATAGCAAGTGTGCATACACGGCAGCCACTGTGGGCTCATCTTTGTTCCCTGAGCTACTCTCTGCAGTCGCAGCGATTCTGAAGCAGATGCCGGGGCACCTCCAGATTCCGCAGCCTGAACTGCAGAGACGGGCAATACTCAGGCGGGGCCTTGGGGGATGGCCGAGCCCACTTGCAGCTGCTGCTAATTTTTATTTGCATCTCAAGTGTGTGCCGTGGTGGCTGGCCTCCCAGTCCTCTCTGCCCGCCCTCGGGGTGGCGAGGGGTGGCCTTCAGGGCTCCGAGCCCAGCCCCCGCCTCCCAGGGGACACTGGGTAGGTTCTCATTTTCCCCTTGAGCAGTTCCACAGCCCAGTTAAACCTGCATGAGGCTCCCCGCGCTGGGGAAGGAGGCGGGTGAGGGAATAAATACACCCAACGCAGGGCTGGGCTGGGCGCTGCCCCCAACAAAGCTGAACCAGGAAGAGCTCCAGGGAAAGTGACTTACAGATACAGCCCTGCCCTCCCCGGCCCAGCGGGAGTTTCGCCAACTGCAGGAGTACCCCCAGCACATAGGTCCCGCTCTGCAGCAAACTGTACCGAGACCCGAGACCCGTTCTGCTCCTTCTGTTTTAAAGCAGAGGCCCGCCCCCTAAGCCTCTCGAGGTCCGCCTCCCTGTGGCTCAGCGCAGAATTCTTCGGATTGGGACACTCAGTGGCTATCGGAGGGGGTCATGTCACGTTTATCAGGACCGTCTGCTGAGAGCCTCCCCTGAGCTAGATCCCGTTGTTAATGCCTGTCCGTAGCCCTGGGTGTGGGATGCCTGTGCCCATTTTCCAGATGCAGCAGCTGAGGCTCAGGGTTACACAGTTCAGAAACGGCAGTCAGGCTTCAGGCCCCAGGGTCTGTCTGACTCCAAAGCCAGTGCCCTTTCCAGAAAACACCCTGACGTGGGAGCAGCGAGGGGAAGAAAGGCCCCCCTGTGCCCACCATCTTGGAAAGCATCTCCCGCCCGCCCAGGTGCTGGGCAGCGCCGTCCTGACAGCATCACTCTACCTCCGGGCCCCTCATCCCTCGTCAGCTTTCAGTCAGCGGAGCAGCTGGAATGAGAGGCCCTCGCAGGGCCTGCCAGGCCCACAGGCGGGCCAGACGCCACAGATGGGCCCTCCAGGTGCTTCCTCTCCCCGTTGGGGCTCTGGGAGCCGCTCCGACCAGGCGCCGTCCAGATGGGGCTGCGGAGTCCAGCTTCAGGGGCCGAGAGCCTCCGTGGCCCGCCCGCCTTTGTCCCCCAGTCTCCGGCCTCGGGATAGTGCTCACAGTGACAGTCCGCCACGCTGGCCTGCGCGCTGTGCCCTGCAGGCCTGTTCTGTCTAGTTCTCGGCCCTTGTGTCCCGGCCTCCGCGCAGATGCGGCCCTCCCTCCCAGCCTGCACTAAGTCCACTCATTTTCTTAGCCGTTGCCACCTTCTGACACGCTTTCTATTTGTTTGTTTATTGTTCCTTCCTCCTCCCTCCCCCAACTAGACTCTTCCATGAGGGCAGGTGAGCCCGAACAGCGTCTGGGCAGAGGCAAGTAGAATTGATCCTGATTGGAGAAACCTGTTAGGTAGTTAGAGAGCGGGTCCTGCCTCCTACAGTCAGAACAACCCTGCTAGGTGAATCTTATCCCCACTTCACAGATGAGAAGACTGAGGCCTGGGGCTGGGTATCGAGGCTGTGAAATCAGTCGCCTGCACAAACGCCCCATGTCTCCCTTCAGTGGCGGCTGGCAGCAGGAAACTTTCTCGTCCAACAAGGAGGGTCATCGACTCTAGGCCAGGCACTGCTTTCCTAAAGAATAAAATCAAACAAGAAGTGGGAAACTTCGGTTGGCCTGTGGGACTCGGAGCCTCAGGCCGGGCTCAGCAGCCGGGGCCTTGGGGTTTGCTCGCAGACGGCGGGCTGAGGTCTGCGCCCGGACTTACTTAGAATTCAGCCGTTAGATCGCTCCCTTCTCTCTGATGGCTGCGAGTGATTGACACTTACAAATTACCCAGCCGAAAGTGTCGAGTCTTTGACCCCTGAGTAACATCTTTGGCAAGCCTGAGACTTGCCAGCATTTTGTCATCTAATTACTACAAATCCCTTGAAAATTCACTGGCTGGTGAATTTTTAATGCGGGGCAATTTCAATGTGATGCACTGCCCAGATGGGTCCTTGCCTTTCCCATCTCTCTCTTTTCCTCCTCTCTCTCTCTCTCCATCCCTCTTTGCTTAACTTGAATCATCTCAAACTTCTGAATGGAGCCCCGCCCTGAACATCTGGGGGAGCTGTTGGAGGCTGTTGGGTCTTTGCCTCCCAGCCTTTCCGTGCTCCATTCTTCAGAAATGCATGCACAGACGGTCACCAGGAGAATGTCCCACTCCTGCCTCCCAGACAGCACCTGGGGCTGCCTGCTCCCCCCACACTCACCCTCTAACCCTAACCCCAGCCCAGCACAACCGACCGGGCAACACCCACCAACCAGCCTCCACAGCACACCTTGGCTTGCCCCGGGCACGCGGGCCCGTGGCTGTCGGGAAGGTGGGTACTGTCACTGTGTGTGTCCCAGATCGTCCTCATTCATTTTCACTTGCTCTTTAGATCCTTGGATAACGGTGCTCAGGGCGAGAGCTGACTGCCTTTCCCGGAGGGAGAATGAGAGCCTGTGCCTTCCACTCGTGTGCCTGGACCGCCTCCTCCTCTTCAGACCCCGAGGGGAAGCCGGCTTTCTGCCTCCAAGCACCACACTGCCCTGCTCCTGCTGCAGAGTGCACTTGGACCTTGGACCCACCGGAAGCGTGGGGAGCAGGACCTGTCTCCGAGCGGGGATGGGGGGGTGGGGGTGGAAAGGGCTCCCGATCCTGCGTGGTTTTTATATACGTTCCTTCCCTCACCTTTGATATGTATATAGGATTTTTATTTCTAAATACAGAAGCAAGGTGCCTTTTACACGCTGTCCCCACTGCAGCCCTCTGTGGGGACACCCTCCTCGATGACAACACGGAGAGGGAACCTGGGCCACCGCGTGCTGACCCGCCAGCCCTCTCCACCCCGCCCCTTCCCCCCATTCAGGGAAACGCGGGTCTGCCTTTCAGCCCGGGTTCTGTTACATGTGTACATGGCTGATAAAATATTCCACTTCACCCCTTCTCCCGTGGGACCTGCCGTCTTACCGGGAAAATGGTTTGTATGACAGCAACCGCGACAGCCTGCGTGTCGCCTGGAAACCGCGTGGGGGGTGGGGTGACTGTCTCCGGCTCTCTTATCTGATTCCCTCTTCAGGTTCCAATAACTGGCATCGCTGGAGAGAAGCCGGGGCCTCCTCACGGGCTGCCCCGAGGGCCAGGTGGTCGCCCTCCCACCCTTGAGGGATGTGAGCAAGGTCCCCAGTGTTCGCTGCCTGGCAGCACCCACCTCCCCTGGACTTCACCGGGGCCACCAGGGCAGGCAGAGGTCGGCTGTGGATGCCGAAATGTTTGAGCCCCTGCCCTTGGACACCCTCAGAAGCTGGGGCGGAGCAGGATCTGGGTGGGGGAACGTCCCAGAGAAACAGATGGACACAGCCCAGCTGATGGGAGGCAGGGCTGGGCGAGTCCGCGGAGGGGGTGGGGGTGTCACGGCTGCTGGGGAAGGAGACAGCGGTCTGGGGTTCTGCCCAGAGGACCCGGAAATGCTCGGGATCCCTCCGAAGTGACTCCTGCTTCTCTCCTCCCCCTTGGTCCTCTATGTCTCTCTCACTAGTCACTGGAGTTCTTCAAATCCAGAGGCACCCGGGGGGCGGGATTACACAGCAGCAGCGGACTTTGCTCCGAGGCCCCAGAGCAGGGACTTAATGCTCCGCATTGAGCGCTGCCCCCGCTGAGCTCCGCGATGGGCCAGGCACAGGGCCAGGCTCCGAGGGGCAGAGCCCACACCCTGCACCAGAGGAGCTTTGAGTAGGGTGCGGGGCTAATCAGGAATGGATTGAGGAGGTGTCACATGGGTGGTGTGTGTCTTCTGAAAGATCGGGAGAAGGCGGGGTTCAGGCAGGAAGGCAACACATTTAATAAGCACCCACTAGGTGCTAGGCACCAGGGTGGCAAAGATGACAGGCCTGGCCTTGGATGGTTAAAGTTTAGTAGACGTGACCTTTGCATGGAGTTGACCTTTTATTTATTTTAAATATTTTTTTTATTGATTTCAGAGAGGGAGGGGGAGAGAGAAACATCCACGATGAGAGAGAATCATTGATCGGCTGCCTCCTGCATGCGCCCTCCTAAGGATCGAGCCTGCAACCCAGGCATGTGCCCTTGGCTGGAATCGAACCCAGGACTCTTCAGTCCACAGGCCCATGCTGTCGCCACTGAGCCAAACCAGCTAGGGCTGGAGGTGACCTTTTAGAAGGAGGGCATCAAGGGCGGGGGGGCGTTGTTGGGTCGAAGAAGGGACAACCACAGTGGTCCTCATGGGCGAGTACCCACATGTCCACCGAGACCCCCTCCGGCCTGGTTGGGCGGCTCGGGGGCGAGCCTTTTCCAAACAAAAGTGACTTACAGCCCGTCCTTCCTTGGCGTGGAGGTTAGTCCGACCTAGCAACCCTGGGGCCCGCGTGGAAAGAAACACAACAAGAGAACTGAATGATTCATTCTGTCGTCTGTCCGCTGTGCCGCCGTCGCCAGCCTCGTGGTCCTTAAGACAGGAATGAAGCAAAAAGGCTGGTGGGAACTGGGAACGAGTATTACACCCTGAAATTTCTCTGCTTTTTTCTTCTGGTTTTGTTTTGGGTTTCTTGCGGGGGGTGGAGGGGGGGTGTATATGCATGCATGCACACTCATTTTCCTCCTAACGAGTGCTGTTAGAAGCATTTAGAGTCCTGGGCTTGTTTGAGCCGTGGTCCCCACTTCACAATATCTGCCAACAGTTCTGAGACCATCGGCATATTTTTTATTCATTCGGTAAATACTGAGAGCCTGGCACTGCGCTTTGCATGGGGACCCATGGCCAGGGCAGCCAGTTTTACCTCTTTGGGTCTCATGAGGAAAGAGACAATAAACCAGGAACAAATAAACGCATCATTCCAGGTCGGGATGAGGGCTGGAGAAGGCCACTCCCAGGAAGTGACAGAAGAAGCCACCCGCGGGTGCCGGGCATGGCGGTGGGCGAGCAGCATCTCGGGCAGAGAGACAAGCAGGTTCAAAGGCAGCAGGAGGACACTGACCTCACGACGTAAAGGTGGCCGGGGTTCCCGGAAGACGTGGGTGATGGAAGAAGGGACTTGAGAGAGACTAGTCTCATAGAGGCTGCTGTGGAGGCCTCACCCTGCAAACGGCCAATCAGAAGACACAGGCGATGCGGCAGCCCAGTGTGGGAGGTGGGGTGAGGAGAGGATGTGGCAGATGATCCCTCACCTGTGCTCCCTTCCCATTGCTTTTCCTGCCTCCCCGGCAGCTAGAGGTGCCTGAGTCTGTTAGCCAATCAGACCACAGCAACTATCTGCTAGAAGCTTCCAGGAGTGTTTGTTTTCCTGATTTAAAAAAAAAATAGCAAAACTGCAGGCCCTCTTCCTTCCTCCTTTCCTTTTGCCTTTAACTGGGATGTGATGGCTGGAGCTGTGGCAGCCATTTTGCAGCCTTGAGGGGAAAACTAAGAGAATCGCAAACACAGGAGCCACTTACCACCAGCTGCCTATCTCCAGCCTTTTCATTATATGAAAAGAATGGGCCCCATTCGTTTGAGACACAGCTAGTTGGTTTTACTGTTATTTGTCAAAAGCATTCCTGGCCTGATACTTGGAGTAAGGGATTGGGGCTGGGGAGAGCCGAACAACAAGGTAAATGAGTCTGAGGTCAAAAGCAGCAGCCTATGGTTCTAAAGTGGAGCGCCAGGAGTAGACGAGCCATCTTTGATGGTAAAATGAACCTGTTTTAATTTCTCTACTTCCAGTTCCATGTGTATTAGGCAGGACAGAGGGGAAATGAGTCAAGACACACAGGGGTCCTGATTTTACCTGCGATCCCGACCTCACCCCAAAGCAAGTTGGGTAAACAGACATCGCCATTGGAGGAAGACATCTTCTGGGTATAGTCACGTGTCCGTTGAACCTAGATGGGGAAAGAGCCAAGGTGAAGGAGAAACGAGCGAGGAGTTTTTGCTGCCAGGGCTCCGAAGAGGCCCTCGCACTATCCCTGGCTTCCCAGGGTCTAAGGCACGTTGTGACAATAAATGTGTGTAATAGGAAAGAAAAATTATCAGAATGGGCAAATTATTTACACAACGATAGAAGGAGAAAAAAGAACATTTATTCAGTGTTGCGTGTGCTCTCAGGAGGCCCACATCAATTCTTGTCAAGCGAAGGTGTGCATGAAATAGAAATCGTGCAATAGCCACCAAGCTGGAGTAGAGGCTTCACAGATGCGCCAGGTGGAAGGCACGCGTCGCAGGGACGGGATGGGCGTGTGGGTCCGGTTCCCAGAATCCAGCAGCAGGCCGGTCCCGGTCCTGCCCCGTAGTCTGGTCCCCGCTGAGGGCAAGGTTCCCGGAGGAGGGCCTTGAGGAGCCGCCATGGGGCTGAGAGAAACTATCACCCCCAGTGGAGGGCGCCAATGCAGTCGCTCTCTGCCTAAGCCAGTGGCATGTTGACATTCAATCAACAAACACTTGTTGAAGACCTACTGTGTACATACTGTCCTGGGTGTTGGAGTCATCTAAGACTAAAGGACTATTAACCTAAAAGGTGGATGTCAAGGAAGCTGCCGGACCTTAGAATCAAGAACATTCTAGCCTGGCCCGTGTGGTTCAGTGGTTGGGTGTCAGCCTAGGAACCAAAAGTCACAGTTTGATACCCCATCAGGGCACATGCCGGGTTGTGGGCTCGATCCCCAGCAGAGGGTGTGCAGGAGGCAGCTGATCAATGATGTTTCGCTCCCATCGATGGTTCTATCTATCCCTCTCCCTCTCTCTCTAAAACCAATAAAAACATTTTTTTTAAAAAAGGAATATCTAGGGTCCTCATAGGTTTAGAAAAAAAAAAGGACATTCTAACTGCCACGTTCTCTGCTGGGAAGAACTGTAAGTCGTCTTAAGCAGAGCATGATCAGTCTATGCCTAGAAAGAGCCAGATGTGGCCTAAATGCTAGAGGTCTAACTGCTGTCAGCATCCGCCTCATCTGGACCACTTCAGGAGAGAGCAGTTGCAGGAAGGACCCGAGGCTTTGCCCTCTGCCCTGGAGGTCATTGAAAATCAGTGACCCCCAGGGCAGAAGGTAGGAGATGCCCAGAAACCCGCGTGACTGGGGCGCGGCTCTGCGTTATGCCCTGGTCTGCAGCAAGTCGGCCCTTTCGCCAGCTTCTGGGAGGCGGCCGCATAGCTTTCTAACTGCCTTTTTCTAACTCAAAGCATCGGTGTTGACACATTTCACTATGGAAAGTTGGATTTGGGGCAAAAGGTGAAAGTCGAAAGGAATAAAATGTAATTAAGAAAAGAGACAGCGAAAGGTCGGTATGTGCCCCGGCTGGTGTGGCTCAGTTGGTTGGACCAGTTTGAGTCCCAGTCGGGGCACATGCCTGGGTTACGGCCTCGATCCCAGGTAGAGGGTATGCAGGAGGCAGCTGGTCAATGTTCTCTCACATCAGTATTTCTTTCACTCCCTCTGTCTTCCTCTCTCTCTAAAAATCAATAAAAGATCTTAACAGGAAAAGGGTCTTTATAAGAATGTTCACAGCAGCTTCGTTTGCAGCAGCTAAAGAAGCAACCCCCGTGTCTGTCGGCAGTAGACTGGGTCGGTGATGGGGGTCGTGCTGGGGAAGAACTCGGGGAGGCCTGTGTGTGGGTGTGTGATGCGTGTGGGCGTGGACATTTTTATAATCATGGTGTTTGCATGGAAACGTCTGGAAAAATCGACATCAAACCATTAACTGTGGTTACATAGAAGGTTAAGGACACAGATGGACCTTCATTTGCTAGACCTTTA